CCTTCCTCACCCAGTGCCACGACTTCCAGGAGTTCCTCCGCGACGCCAAGCAGGCAGAGATCCTCCTCACTAACCAGGTGGGTGCCCCAAAGTGGGATCCTCTGGTTCTCGGGCATCTTGGGAAGGTGCCGACCCCCTCCTGTGTCCTTCCCACAGGAGTACACGCTGGCGCACTTGGAGCTACCAGCCACGCTGGAGGGCTCGGCTGCTGCTTTACGCCGCTTCCAGGACTTCCCTGCCAGCCTGGAGAGCAGCGCTGAGAAGGTCCCTCAGGTGGTGGCCAATGGCACCAAGCTGGTGGCCGAGGGGAATATCTTCTCTGAGAAGATCGCCGAGAAGTGCCAGGCCCTCCAGGAGCGGTGAGTCTGGCAAGGGGCTGGTGGGTGGGCAGCAGGTGGCCAAGGAGGGGCTGACCCTGCCTGTCTGTGGTGACTTTGCCAGGCACGGGGCTGTGGTGGCCAAGGCGGAGGAGGCATCAGGTTTGCTGCAGGACAACCATGAGCTGCAGACCTTCCTACAGAGCTGTCGGGAGGTAGGGACGCCTGGGAGGTACAGGTGTCATAGCTGGTGGCATCGGGGGTGTCCCCACAAGCCGAGTCCTGACACCCCCTTGCCTGCAGCTCGATGGTTGGGTGGAGGAGAAGATGCTGACAGCCCAGGATATCTCTGATGGTGAAGTCCGTGGGCTTCAAAGCAAGTGGCAGAAGCACCAGGCGTTCATGTCCGAGCTGGAGCCCACCCAGGGCTGGCTGGAGAAGATTGAGATGGTAGGTGCTGGCACTGGTGCCTCAATGCCTTGTTGCCCCCTGGGCGGGCAAGAGGTCACCGTGCCATCGTGGTGGTGGCCACCAACCTCTTCGGTGTTGTCTGCAGGAGGGGAAGGAGCTGTCCAGCCACAAGCCGCAGTACGGTGAGGTGGTGGGACGGCAGCTGCAGGAGCTGCGGGGGCGGTGGGACGGGCTGCGCGGCGCTGCCGAGGAGAAGGGCCGGCGGCTCTTCGAGGCCAACCGCGCCACGCTTTACGCCCGGAGCTCGGAGGAGCTGGGCAGCTGGCTGGGACGGGCTGAGGAGGAGCTGCGAGCTGCCGAGCAGGCCAAGGACCTCACTGCCACCAACCTGCTGCTGAAGAGGCTGACGGTGGGTGGTGGCACCTCACCTTTTCTTTTGGATAAGAGTGGGATGTCCCCTGTTCAGGGTGGGGGGTCTGTGGTCCTGTAATGGGGCTGGTTGGTGTCTTGAGGGTCCCCTCCTGGCTCTGCCCACCTGGGCTCACCTGGCTCTCCCCTGGCAGAGACTGGAAGAGCAAGTGAGAGGGCGGATGAAGGAGCTGGAAGAGCTGGAGGCCTATGGGCCTTCCCCCGTTGGGGATGTGCCAGATGCTGGTGGGGATGAGCAGGGGCTCCGGCGTCGGTTCCTCGACGTGCTGGAGCCGCTGGAGAGGAAGAGGAAGGGGCTGGGGGAGACC